CTGGGTTTTATTTTGATTCTTTTAAGAAGGGGAGATGTGCATATGAAAAAATGCTCTCAATCACTATTGATTAGAGAAATGCAAAACAAAAAAACTCTGAGGAACTACATCACAACTATCAGATCGGCTAACATGACAAAACAAGAAAATGACAAATGCTGGAGAAGATGTGGGAAAATTGGAACACTAATGCACTGGTGGTGGAGTTGTGAACTGATCCAACCATTCTGGAGAGCAATTTGGAACTATTCCCAAGGGACTATAAAAATGTGCATACCCTTTGACCCAGCAAAGCATTTCTAGGGCTGTATCCCAAAGAGATTATACAAACGGGAAAAGGACCCACATGTACAAAAATATTTTTAGCAGCTCTTTCTGTGGTGGCAAAGAATTGGAAATTGAGGGGATGCCCATCAATTGGGGAATGGCTGAACAAGTTGTGGTATATCAATGTAATAGAATACTATTGTGCTATAAGAAATGATGAGAAGGCAGACTTCAGGAAAACTGGAAAGACTTGTATGGACTGATGCTGAGTGAAGGGAGCAGAACCAGGAGAATGTTGTACATAGTAATAGCTACATTGTGCGATGACTAACTTTGACAGATTTAGCTCTTCTCAGTAATGCAAGGATCTAAGACATCTCCAAAAGCCTCATGATGGAAAATACTATCCACATCCAGAGAAACAACTATGGAGTTTGAATGCAGATTGAAGCATACAATTTGCTTTTTTTTTCCTCTTGTTTTGTTTTGTTTCTTCTTTCTTGTGGTTCCTCCTATTGGTTTTAATTCTTCTTTACAACATGACTAATGTGAAAATACGTTTAATAGGAATGTATATGTGGAACCTATCTCAGACTGCACACCATCTTGGGGAAGCAGGCGGAGAGGAAGGGGGAGAAAATTTAAAACTCAAAAGCTTATGGAAATGAATGTTGAAAACTAAAAATAATTTAAAATTTTTTTTTAAAAAGAAGTGTTTGTAGGTAGCAGGGAAGGAGCCAAAAGACATGAAGAATTTGAAGATGAAAAGATTGGAAATGACAATGAGAGCAATCTTCTGAAGAAAGTAGTTGAGATCAAGGATGCCTACAGAGAGTTTGGCCTTGGCAAGAAGAGTTACCTCTTTATGCACGTTAGGAGTGAAGATGGGGGAGGGGAACACGTGCAGGAGGGAGAATATGTCTGAGTGATATGAGATAAGGAAGAGAAGTAAAGAGGGAGCTCACAGCAAATGACCTCAATTTTTTTCATCAAGTATGAGACGAAGTTCTCTGCTGAGAGGGTGAGAGGAATGGCTGCCGTGGGAGGCTTGAGGGGAGAGAGAATTTGAAACTAGCACTATACAGAGTGGGAGAGTGAATAGCTTAAAAAATGAAATGATTGACTTGCTGCAGTGAGGGCCCAGTTGAGAGAGATTAGGTAACATTTGTAGGGAGCTCAGCTTGGTTGAATGCTTTCTTCCAGCTCCTTTCAACAAGGCGGAAGTAAACAAGAGCAAAGGGGATGAATGTTCAGGAGTAATCCAAGGTTAGGGTTTCCCATGTGAGAAATCAAATACGCAGGGAGGGAAAGAAATCGGAGAATAGAGAACAGCACGTAGTTGAACTATTAACTATAAGACTGATCTTTCAAAATAAAATTAAGTTAGAGCCTGGGAAAATAATAAGGGATGAAAGGACTGGAGTTCTCCAAAATATAAGTTTAGGAATGGTAAGGAAAAGGAAAAGAAGAAAAGATAAAAGGGTTCTGATCTGATTAAAAAAAAACCAACCAAACAAAAAACTTTGGAGTTATTTATTGTTCAAGTGGAACACTACTGGGTGACCATTAGATCAAGGGCGTGAGGGCAGCTAGATGGCACAGTGGACAGGGCACTGACCCTGGAATTAGGAGGACCTGAGTTCAAATCCAGCCTCATTCACTTGACACTTACTGGCTTTGTGACTTAATCACCCTCCCCTCCTCCCCAAACAAAAAAGATTAAGAGTGTGACCATTTCTGTACATAGCTGGAGTGGAGAGTTAGGCATTCTATAGTCTAATATTCCAAGATTAGGGAGTTTGTGGAACCATCAATAGTGAAAGTCCCTAATATATAAAGGCAGGAGTGGGGATAGAGAGGAAGACAGGTGCTAAATCTGGGAAATGAGGGAGAATGTCCTAAGGGTCCACAGATAACTGTTACTAGTATCTTAAATAGGTTATAAATTTGAATGGAGTGAAAAGAAGAGGAAAGGCTGCTGATTGATACTGGCAAAGGGAGAGTCTAGAAGTGATCATGGGAAAAAAAGAAGTATTCCAATTTCCTCCAAGAAGCAGAATCAGGAAGTATGAAGGAAAGTCCACCTAAAGAGATAGGCAGACCTGGGAATTAAGGATTAGGGAGTGGTATAGTCTGCTCTTAAGTAGTTCGAATTCATCCCAGGGATTAGAAGCGAAACAGATGGGATGAGTTTATTAGTCAAAAAGGGGCAGTCCGGGAAAAGGGTACAGTTGGCCCTCTTTATACCCTGTGGTATCTTCTGGTGATTCTCAGTACCTTAGCTCTGCCTCTTTCACCCTCAGACTCCACGGTTTGCTTTGCTAGGGACTGAAGGAAAACACTGATAAAATCAGTAGTTGAATAAAAGGAGTCAATTCCTTTGCAGGATTTCTCTCAGAAATACTCATAACAATGAGATATTTTGAATTTCTTTGCATACTGTTTCTCTTTTGTATCAGTTCAGAGGGCCAGGTTCTCTGCTAAGTGGAAAGAAACTATTTGGCACAGTCACCACAAGAGTTGAATCATTTCATGGAGATAGCAGAGAAAGGATATATAAGAATATGATTTACATAACGCAATAAAGTCACGCTAAGAGCCAAGATTCTTGACTACACAGTGCAAGCTTGAACAAGGACCCCACAATGTTGGAATTGGAGCTGTGTGATCCAACTGCCTTTTGTTCTGGACGGCCACCCAAGTAGATACATATACAAATCAGGAAGTTTTGCTATTACTGACAGAGAAATAATGTATATTATACTGTCTATCATCTCAAATAGGAGTTCACTGACCACTTCGTGGCTCAGCGAGATTATCTTATCCAAGACAGGTTTTGGATTTTCTCTTTTAAGATCATCACGCTTTGGTTCTCAATTAGTATAAGCTCCAAATAATTTGTTCCTTATACCCATTCTTCCAGAACCTTCCCCACCTAGTTATCTGCTTGAATGACATTTTTCTCATCTAACTGAGTAATGTGAATTCGCATTCTATTTGAGTGGTGCTTCTTGCCCCTTGACCTAAAATTTCCAATCCCATAGCTCCCTCAGGCAGCACCATCCATTCCAGCTCATTTTAGTCATTTGATTTGTTGCTTGGTCTCTTTCTATATATATTCATCTACTCACTTTGATGTGTTCCAAATGGTAGATAAGTGAAGTTGGAATATTGTGTGTGAACTTGACATAGTCCCAAATTTCAGGTCAAGAAATAGTCTAAGTAACTAAACTAATAAAATTTTATCTCTCTGTCACATTTGTTTTCTAAAGCCTCTCTCTGCATACTCCACCTCCCCCCACCGCCTCCATCACCACAATCCCTATAGCCTCTCTATGAAGTCTGAGTGTATAACTGCTGCCTCAGGAAAACTGACATTTTGCTGCCCTTTTTATGTTCTTGTTCAGCTCTCCAGAAGTTCAATTTTGGCAAATGACACTGAAAAAAGCTCTATCCATTCACTGTAGTATGGTATGAATTCTTGCTCAAACCCATTTCATCTAAAAAAACCAGCAAATGGTGGGGTAGTTGCTAGACAAGCTTGAGTATTTTCTATCCTTACTTTCACTAGATTCTATCTCAAATGGAGATTGCTGTCTCATCTCAGTTTCACAGAGCCCAGTAAATAAAAGGTTGGAGAGTCATGGAATGAAGCATTAAGGGAGGCAAATAAGTCTAAACATACATATTTGTGAGAGGCAACTAGGTGGCACAGTGGTTAGAGCACTGGCCCTGGAGTCAGGAGGACCTGAATTCAAATCTGACCTCAAACACCTGACACTTACTAGCTGTGGGACCCTAGACAAGTCATTTAACCCCTACTGCCTTGTGATTGTGTGTGTATGTGTGTGTGTGTGTGTGTATATATATATATATATACACAGAAAGAGAGAGATAGAGAGAAAGAGAGAGACAGGGAGAGGGAGAGAGAGAGAGAGAGAGAGAGAGAGA